AAATATATACAGTATATTTTTAAAACATGTTTTTCCCACTCTCACAATATCCATTTTTTTGCTAAATGTAAGGTTAATTCCCACTAATTCCCAGTAATGAAAATTCCCACAGTGACTTTTCCAATTCAACTGCATACCAGAATGTGTATTTTTGCTTTTAATTGCATTTTTGTAACATTTTATAGGCTACATGTTTGAGGTAATTTGTGACCCTGGACCACAAAACCAGTCTTAAGTGTCAATTTTTTTTAATTGAGTTGTATACGTCATCTGAAAGCTGAATGGTTTATTAGGATCTGACAATATTTGGCTGAGATACAACTATCTGAAAATCTGGAATCTGAGGGTGCAAAAAATCTAGATATTGAAAAAAATCACCTTTAAAGTTGTCCAAATTAAGTCCTTAGCAATGCATGTTACTAATCAAAAATGAAGTTTTGATATATGGAAGAAAATAACTTCATGGAACATGATCTTTGCTTAATATTCTAATGATTTTTCATACCCCAAACATACCCGTGCAACTTAAGACTGGTTTTGTGGTCCAGGGTCACATTTGACAATTATGGCTTGGTTGTACATGACACCTAATATAAATAGTTTCCTTGCAAGTTGCAAGTGATATGTACCTTGGTTTTTACTTTGTTGTCTTCACTTATATCATGTGTTGTATTGTCTTAAGCACTTTATAAAACACACTGACTTTTAGGAAAAAAATATTAGGAGAAAACAGGGTGGAAATTATGTTGTAATTATAAAAAAAAAAGTTTCAGAAAATAAAAACCAACCACTGGAACATAAAATTGCCCAAAGTTGAAGAAACTCCCATGAGCAGTGCTTTGGTCTCACTCCAAGAACATTAAGTCAGTCCAGAACATGTGATAAGAAAAGGCCAAATTCAAACTATAAAGAATGATTTTGGAAAGGGGAGGTTATGCAGATGGCTCAGCTCAAATGTTTTCTTACCAGTGAGAAAACAAAATTCAATGCTTCATCTAAAGTGGCTCATTATAGTGCTGTTGACACTTATGTGCTTCACAGACTCTCATGTATTCTCCATTACAGGATCAAGAAACATCACTCCCATTGTAAAGTTCCACTGAAGAACAACCTTGCTTTGCTTTTCTTCTGCCTTGGTGCTTTTTTGGCACCTCTGTGGACCAGCTGCAACATTTTCCGTGTACAAGTACTGGGAATTTCTGCATTAAGATTGAGTTGTTTGAATTGGAATCCCTGTATTCTTCAACGTGACCTCTTGCTTAAAGTCTTGAAGAGCTTTTGAAAGCTGTAGACTGACTTTTATCAGGTCAAAAGCAAGACTTTTATGTTTGCCACAAAGTACTTAGTGCTATGTGTTTGGGGTGGTGCTGGTCATGGCCAAAGTAGAAGGGTGGTGGCATTGATCTTTAGATTACAGGTTGGCATGCATCAGCTCTCCTTGCTTGAGCTTGTGTGGGCATAACACCCACTGGAATACGACACACAGTCTTTATTGTGGTTGCTATGCATGTGGAAGCGTTTATTGTCCCATTATTGCTACAAAAAGCAAAGCCGGAACAAACTGAGCCAACAAAACATGGCAGGCCCTATGATATAAGCATTTCTTTGCATTTTGACTCTTAAAGAGATAGCTCATTATTTACTTATCATTATGTTGTGATTTTCTTTATTCTGTGGAACACAAAATATGTTGTTTTGAAGTTTCAGTTGTTTGGACACCGTTGACTTCCAGAACATCTTCTCTTGCCTTCCACAGAAAGAAAAAAGACAGTTATTCAGGTTTGTAGGGCTGCACAATATACTGCGCAATAAAACTGAAATCGCGATATGACTGAGATTTATTTAAATACATGCGCTGCGTCTTTGTGCCACACAAACTTATCTCTCCATTTGCTCTGAGCTTGGGTCACTAAAAACATGCATTTGGGAAAGCAGTGTAAACTTTCCAAACTTGTAATGAGAAGTACTTATAAACTGATGTATAGAACCCATCCTACTTTTGTTTTCTTTTTTGATAATCTTTTTCACTCCTATTTTAAAAAAATATCTGCCTCTACTTCTGTTCCATTGCGGCTTTAAAGGCTTCCTGCAGTTTTTTTTTGGCAATATATGACATGAATTAACCTTGAATTAGTATTGTTATTTTAGTCAAATTTTACAATAGTAATATTCCTTATTTTGATTATTTTTATGTAGTAATAATTATATTTAAAAGAAAATGTTTACACCATTATTATTATTATTATTATCATCATTATTATTGTTTTATTATTTTGAGATTATAATCACAAACTTTTGGGCCAAATTTTGCTGCATTTAAAAAAAAAATTATATTAACAATTTTTTTTTCACCCCAAATTGTGCAGCCCTACATGTTGGGACACACATTACGGTGGATAAATGATAACAGAATAAAACAATTTGAGTAAACTATCCCTTTAAGTGCTTTTAAACAATGCATCCATCTGGACACTAGACTTTTTATTCTGTTCTCCATTCTTTTCATGTCCTACTGTTTACAACATTTTTTATCTAGAAAGCCGTGATACTGTTGTTTTTTGTATGTAGAGCAAGATTTGCAAGTGTCACACTCATCTTGGCATCTTGGCAATGCAGAGTCTCTCTTAAACAGTGCCAAGTTCCTCACCATTTCCCACGCCTGCCCCGCCAGGACCTCCGGGACTCATTTCTCTAATCTTGCCATCCATGCGTGCCATCAAACAGACCACTTTCTCCAGTCCAGCCATCCATGGCTATGATCAGAATGCCAGTCCTGGGGCCTGTGGACGTGCCCCTCGGAGTTCTGCCCACAGCTCCATTGTCAGAGACATTAATTTGCCGCTTGGGCCCAGTTCCACCGATGTCTCCATTACACATATGACACAAGGATCCATTCAGTTTTCGTAGAGCTGTCTGAGGAATTATATTTGATTAGGAAGAGCTGTTCTTATTGAGAATGTCTGTTGCTTTTGCTTTCGAGTCATCATCAATCTTCTCAAATCACTAGTTACAGGAATATGTTGGCTAAAGACTCCCTTGCAAAGCACATTTAGGCATTTGTATGTGTCAGTAAAGGTCAATGAAATGCATATTTAAGTCAAAGTTGTCTTGGATATGTTTTCGACGGCTCTCCAGTCTCTAATATACGCTATAGTTAGTGTTTTAACAACCCAATACAAACCAACAGAAAGAAAATCTGATGTAATCATATGTGTCTAGGGATAGTCTTGCATAAACCACCAGCTTTTCAAGCAAAATAGAATGTCCGTTTTTAATCACAAAGGTTGCAATTCAGACCTGGCACAGCTCTTAAATACAGACCATCAGTTGTGCACTGAACAGTTAGTTTCAGAAGATGACAGACATGACAGAAACTACAAATAACATCCAAAGGCTACTGAGTAATGATTCTGTGTTTTTGGCACAAGATCTTTTTAGAAGCTAAAAAGTGCTTTGCATTGATCAAAATTTGCATTGTTTTGATCTAATTTTCCACATAAACTGATCAAACTCTGAGTTAAATCAGCTTGCAGATATTACAGAAATATTCCACACTGCAAAAAATGCTTTTCTTGCTTAGATCTTTTGTCTTGTTTCCAGCCAAAATATCTAAAAATTCTTAAATCAAGAAGGATTTTCTAGACAAGTAAAAATTATTGTCTTGTTTTTAGAAAAAACAAGTCGAATTCAAGTGAGTTTTTGCTTTGTTTGAAACAAGATTATTTTTCTTACCCCATTGGCAGAACAAACAAGACAAAAGATCTAAGCTAGAAAAGCATTTTTTGCAGTGCATTTGATTTTTTTCTCTTGAAGCAGCTGCAAAATCCTCAGAATTTGTATACGGCGAGTTCCCTTTGGTCTCAGTTGTGTCAATAACACCACATCTTATTGCACGTGTGCAGACTAGCCTTCTTGTGTTTACAAGGACAAAATAATTTTTACGAACAGACCAGTTAACATAACCAAATGAAAAAGGGCTGAAAAGCCAAACTTGCATATACTTGTTTAAAAAGCAAATCTTGCACAGCCTTTCAGGGTTTTGGGCCTTCCTTAGTGGTTTATCTGAAGGAGCAGCCAGAGGCGTGGCAATGATGATGCAAGTCTGTCATTAAGGAATATACGGCTGGCTTCAAATGCCACAGCTTTTAGTCCACACAGATATTCCTACATAGGCATCCATCCCTGTGAAGCACAGTCTTGCTCAACAGTGCACATGTGGAGTCTGGTAATATCAACTCAGGGCCCCCTGGCTGTAGCATTTGTTTTGTAGAGTTCACGGTCAGGGTAAATGTCAAGGGTCACGGCAGCAAAGTAGCAGTCTCTGCCTTTTGGCTGTGCGCCACACTGGTGTATTTCAACCGTGACCTCTGTGATCTTTCCTTGGCTTTGATTGCATTACAGACTTTCTCACCATAACAAACAGTGAGTTAGGAATAGAGCTGTATGAGCAGCTACATAAGGCCTTTTAGTCATCTGAGACAAATGGAAGGGAAATGTGGGGATTTATTTAAGCTTTTCCAAACAATATTTTAATAATACAGCTGCAGAGGCTTAGTTGAATAAAGATTAATTATTTAAATTAATGCAAAGTAAATATGTTTCTTATAACTTTAGTAGCCCTTGTAGAGATTTTACATATTTCCACAGAATGCAAGAGTAATTAATGTAAATGTGAACAGGAAAAATCAACAGGAAATTGATATTGACCCTATTTAGTTTCTATAGTTTCTATATAATATAATATAATATAATATATATATATATATAGTTGATGTTGGTTTTTTTTGTTTGTGTTTTTGTTGTTGAAAACAGTTGTGCTGCTACACACACACACACACACACACACAGAGATTAATATTTATTTTGAAATAAGTCATATTATGGAAGTAAAATAGATTCCAACATTCAGTTAAATCTGATTTTAAACTTAGTGCACATTGGCGTCCTGATATATTCAGTAATAATTGTTAATAGTTGACTGTTCTGTGTCCTCTCTGCAGGGGATGGCCTTCTCCCTGGAAGAGCGCTTGCAGCTGGGGATTCACGGCCTGCTGCCTCCCTGCTTCCTCAGCCAGGATGTGCAGGTATTGCGGTTCCTCAGAAACTACGAGCTGAAAAAGGATGACTTGGACAGGTGAGGAAAAGGGGTACTGACATCCATCCTGTTGCTCTCAGACAGTCCTGCTCCACTATAATTTATTTGTCTCAAACCGATCTGTTGTTCTCTGTAACTAGATTTCACACCTATCAGATCACAGAAATAGTGTTACATATAAGACATGCTGTTGTTGCTGCCATTTGGGCGATAAAAGTTTATCCTATGTAACAGCAAGGAGGATTTTCCTTTTCTTATCTTTTTTTGCTTTCTCTGTTTTTTTCTGAACTGCAAAGTAAATGGGACATCAAGAGTTGAATACCCCTCTGGTTGTTGGAACATAAAAGGCATCATCAAAGTATCATCTAAATAACATCAACAGATATTCAACTAGTTAGTTAGAATTTTCCCAGAATTCATTAGCCCCTGTTATTATGTCACTCCCAAAGCAGTATGGGATCTCTTCCCATGTTTTGCAGGCCTGACCTTTCTGGAAATTATATTCCTGTCATATCTCAAGGCTACTAGTCGTGTAACAGTCTTTGGTTTGTCCTTTCAGACAGGACGCGATTTATTTCTGGATGGGTCGCTTTCAGTCAAATGACCCTGACGTCTGCACGCATATTACTGTCTACTGGAGCAATGAGGGATTCTTTCCCAGACTATCAGAGTTTTTTTTTATTTTGATGCTCTGCTGCCTGAATTTTGTGAAGGGACGAGAAGCATGTCAAAATTTAAAATAGATATTTGAAGCTTATTTTTGTCAAAGTTGAAAAAAAGAGAGTAAATACATTTTTTGGCTTGGATTTGGGAGACATATAGTTTTGACAGTTTGTTGACAAAGTACAGATTTGGCCTTTGAAATCAGTCTCTGCCATAAGCAGTAGTCAATGAACTGAGGATTAATAATGAGTAGGCATTTCACAACAGAGCAAATTCATCACATAATACACAGCTTCTCATTCTGATCATTTGTTTGATTGATATGAAGTAGTGAGGACTGCAGCAAGCCTTGATCTATGCATAAATAATCTCTAGGCATTTGAATAACTTAGCAATTAAAAGCTCCTTGTGCAGTATTGTCGCGTGGTTCGAGATCCGCTTTGATTAGCATACATTGAGCTTTCAATTACTGCAGTTGGCTTCTTTATATGATGATTGGACATGGGATCTCTTCCCATGTTTTGCAGGCCTGACCTTTCTGGAAATTATATTCCTGTCATATCTCAAGGCTACTAGTCGTGTAACAGTCTTTGGTTTGTCCTTTCAGACAGGACGCGATTTATTTCTGGATGGGTCGCTTTCAGTCAAATGACCCTGACGTCTGCACGCATATTACTGTCTACTGGAGCAATGAGGGATTCTTTCCCAGACTATCAGAGTTTTTTTTTTATTTTGATGCTCTGCTGCCTGAATTTTGTGAAGGGACGAGAAGCATGTCAAAATTTAAAACAGATATTTGAAGCTTATTTTTGTCAAAGTTGAAAAAAAGAGAGTAAATACATTTTTTGGCTTGGATTTGGGAGACATATAGTTTTGACAGTTTGTTGACAAAGTACAGCTTTGGCCTTTGAAATCAGTCTCTGCCATAAGCAGTAGTCAATGAACTGAGGATTAATAATGAGTAGGCATTTCACAACAGAGCAAATTCATCACATAATACACAGCTTCTCATTCTGATCATTTGTTTGATTGATATGAAGTAGTGAGGACTGCAGCAAGCCTTGATCTATGCATAAATAATCTCTAGGCATTTGAATAACTTAGCAATTAAAAGCTCCTTGTGCAGTATTGTCGCGTGGTTCGAGATCCGCTTTGATTAGCATACATTGAGCTTTCAATTACTGCAGTTGGCTTCTTTATATGATGATTGGACAAGTTCATAAATGGGGTGGGGTTTAGCAACGAATGGGCAATAAATGAAACTGATGATAGATGGCACTCGTTATTTAAATAAACAGATATAGACAGAGTTAATGGAATGTTGTGACTTGTGAGGAATGTAGTTTGACATTCATAATCTTTTTTTTGTATTGGAATTTGTAAATATTGTGAATGTATGCTTCAGCAGTTATTTTCATCAAATAATTGCATTCTTTAGTGGTAGTTTTGGAGAAGTGGTATTTTGGGGAAGTATTGCAGAAATGCATATAGAACACTATATCTTGATGTGTGTTTTGGTATTATACGTGACTTGTCAAAATGTTACCCTTTATCAGCAGGAAAAGGGCTGACACATCAGTAGGGCTACACAATATATTGAAACATCAGGAATATTCATGATATGCATATGGCAAAGGCTTGCAACATCTGAATGATTTCAATGCTTAAAAAGGTTTCAAAAAGTCAAAGTTTTAAGTTGACGCAGATAGCTGAGAATAGACTGGGCACACAACTTGTGGTGTGTGTGTGTTTTCACGTGTGAGTGTGTGCGGTCTGATAACATATATGCGGAACAATCAACAAGCCGTCATGATGCTTTCATAGCATACTACTCTGAGAGGATGAATCAGCCCAAGTCACCCGCCGCTGATGATTTAGTGCCAAAAGAACAAGAAACATGTGTCTTGGTTATATAATTTTTATTTTTGTAATATATTTAAATATAATTTAAATTGTTTTTGCACACTTAATGCTTTATCACATTATGATATTTAACAATTTATTGCATTTTTCTTCAATATGGTGCAGCATTACACATCAGGAAGAAAGTACAAGTTTGAACGTTTGGTTGGAAAAAAGTTTGAAAGAAAGAGAAATGCATTAAGGAAGCTATCTATCTGATTTAAGCGTATGCAAGGAAAATGTTCCTTAAGGTCCAGAATTATCACGCTTGTTAACATAGTCTAAGCACCTCATTTTGAACTGCCTTCCCCTTCACAATGCCACCGCATATAGTTGGAACAGTATAAACTCTGTGAAAGCCATTACTTCCAACAGTTTATTGGGAATATATACAGCTTTACAACAGCAGTTGGCTTTGCCAAAATAGAAGACGGCCAATCGAGCTAGATTCTAGCATAGCCGAGTCTCAAGAATGACATTTGGTTTACTCTCCTGAGACGCAGTTATAGGCAACAAGGTGGCAAAATATCACTCACACATTTCACCCTGACAAACACTGTCAGAACGCTGCATTATAAGTTAACATGACTGTCACGACAGAGCTGACACTCATGTAGAGTTTGATTTTTCTCATCCCACCTTTTACAGTCCTGGTAAGCATCTGTTTCCTCCTGCCTCAGGAAGGTGGGCACACTTTTCCTGAGCCAAACAAGAGATATGTTATGCCCTTGCCTTGATGGAAAGCTTGCTCGGACTGATGAGGAATGTGACGTGGTCTTGTAAATTTGGGTCAGATGTAGAACTTGAACGTATTTCTCTTCAACGTATTTCTATAACAAGGAACTTGTGTCTAAGTTCTCTGGGGGCATTTTTGTGCAGTGTGCATTTTTCCTAGCATTTTGACATAAGCAGGGAAAATCCCCCATTATTCTTGAGCTTTGTTTCAAACAACAGTCAAGACTTTTTAATGTGACAGTCTAGTCAACTCTGTTCTACTTTTGTTGGCAGTTTCATGTAATTTCTGTCCTAAAATGTGTCCCTTTTGTGTGCCCACACTGTAAACCCAAACAACTGCTGTTACCATTGTTGTAATGAATGAATTCTGCCCCATTTTGGCAGCAAACTTTAAAAATAAATTTACCAGTCTACTCATCAGTCTTCGCAAACATAAGTCTGTGATACCAGCTTTAAATGGTTGGGTAGGTAGTTTGGGTAATCCTCCATTAAATGTGGAGTAATATAATCCCAGGGGGTCCTGAAAACCAGGAGTTGCTCTCCGTAACTCGTGTCTGTCCTGCTTTCTAGCTGTAGTTGATTTTTTTCCCTTTAGCATTGGCTGAACATTGTTATAAATTGTCCTATAATGTATGTTGACATATTTATATTCTGCTTTGTTACAGATACGTCTTTCTGATGGGCCTTCAGGACCGAAACGAGAAGTTGTTTTACAGAGTCTTGACCTCAGACATAGAGAGATTCATGCCCATTGCGTACACACCTACAGTCGGCCTAGCATGCCAGCAGTACGGCCTTACCTTCAGGAGACCTAGGTAAGAGACTGCTGAACGTAATTGAATTTTTTAAAATAAGTTCTTTCTCCTTCAACACAGTCCTTAAGCAAACACATCCATCCGACTGACAGATTTTCTTACAGCTCCTGGCATTGTCGCTCTGCTTTTTGAATTGTTCTACAAATCATTGAATATCTCGCCTCCAGGCAAATGAAACTGAATACCTCTTAAAAGTTAAAACATCTGTCTGGAGAGTTGAATATACATCCTGTCATAACAGAAATCTATTTTATGGTGGAATTTGGAGGCTGTGCTGTCAGATTTTTTAGACTCCTTGAAGTATATTCCAGTATAAATAAGCGTGACCTTTAGTTCATTGACGAGCTTGGCGTATATTATGAGATTGTTATCATTCTCAGCTTCCTGTGCTGGTTCAACTTGTGATTAGCAGCCTATATCGCCCATTTTATCTATCAAATTATACCTTTTTTTGTCTTATTTTCTCCTTCCTGCTGTACTTTGTGGAGTGAGTTAGGTCTGGACATGATCAAAAATAAGAATGTGTTTTAAGTCTTTTCATTGCTTTCAGTGATTCATTTTGAGGGATATCCTATGATCCTCAAATGAGGGGAAATTTTAGAGCATTCCACACCCTCAACGCTAAACTAGAGCCTTCCGCAATCTCCCTAAATGCAAAGTATTTGCAGTGGTGTAATGTAACGAAGTAATAACACTTCGTTACAGTACTTAAGTATTTTTTGGGAGTATCTGTACTGTACTGTACTTGAGTTTTTATATTTCAGCCAACTGTTACTTTTAGAGTACTCCACTACATTTCCTAAATAAAATTTATACTTTTACTCCGATACATTTCCCCGAAGCATATTCATCATTACTTACTAAAAAAGAAGAACACGGACTGCAGGAAAGCAGGTTTGACGAATCAGTGGTCTGGCGTCTGCAAGTTAGACTCCTAAAAACACCTTTGCTCATGTGCAAACAAGTGCACGCATAACCGCGGATGATTCATTTTCCCCTCAAGTCGAGTCTGGGGTGTGCGATACAGCATTGTCTGCGATAATATGGTAAGTGTTGTTGTAATGATGTGTGATCTGACATTATCAAGTAGGCTATATCACCAAATCACACACAGAGTGCACGCACGTTGATTTATTAGTCTATTACAACTCAAAATTCCAGGCATTCTAAATTGTAGACGGCAAAAATGCTTCTGTATGCTTTTTATATTTATATAATTTAATGTTTTTTGTTCAATTGTTTTGTCAGTTATTGCATTATTTCAGTCAAATATAAAACCCTTTGTTACCTCAAACTACACATAAAAGCCTGATCAGTGCCATAAAAGTAATCAGAATGCAGTTACTTGTTCCTTTGTTACTCATTGATGCGTGAACTTCCCCTTTAAATAACGCGACGCTCTGCCCTCTATGTGTATGATGCTGCTCCCATTAAGCGCTGTTGGAAGCAAATTAATTGATTCAGCATTTCGACACTTCCGTAAATTCGACAAAGCGGTTTAATAAAGGATGTATTGATCTTGTGAATTAGCAAATTTTACTACACCAATATTTTTTAATTGGCTGTTAAAGTTTATTGGGAATATTACATGACACGCTGATCCTTTAACAATGCATTGGCACAAAAACGCACACATTTTGGACCGATTTCACATGATTTGTTGACTGCCACAAATACTGCCTAAACAAAATACTGATTTTGTGCACTTTTTATTGTACCAATATTTTAAATTGGCCTTTGAACTTGGCTTTATTGCATGGCAAAAAAAAGTCTTACCTTGACAAAGCACTGACAGAACCCATTGATCTAATGATGTTGTTGAGCGCTCCAAATGCAAACTTTGCATGCAACAATCAGGCAGCAAGTGACAGCGCTCTGATCCAATGGCGTACAGGCATCGTCAGAATGACAGTACTGTAGCCCAATGATGTTGGGAGATCCAGTGGGGGCGGCAATCATATTTCAGGGTGGCCGTGCCACTCATCACAACCCTGCTAAAATGTATCCACCTTTTTCTTCAACGCGGAAGTAAGCCTATGGGTGAGACTTCCGGTTCATTAGCCGCTATAGGTAAATAACGAGGAGAATAACAACGCTGTACTTTGTGGAGTGAGTTAGGTCTGGACATGATCAAAAATAAGAATGTGTTTTAAGTCTTTTCATTGCTTTCAGTGATTCATTTTGAGGGATATCCTATGATCCTCAAATGAGGGGAAATTTTAGAGCATTCCACACCCTCAACGCTAAACTAGAGCCTTCCGCAATCTCCCTAAATGCAAAGTATTTGCAGTGGTGTAATGTAACGAAGTAATAACACTTCGTTACAGTACTTAAGTATTTTTTGGGAGTATCTGTACTGTACTGTACTTGAGTTTTTATATTTCAGCCAACTGTTACTTTTAGAGTACTCCACTACATTTCCTAAATAAAATTTATACTTTTACTCCGATACATTTCCCCGAAGCATATTCATCATTACTTACTAAAAAAGAAGAACACGGACTGCAGGAAAGCAGGTTTGACGAATCAGTGGTCTGGCGTCTGCAAGTTAGACTCCTAAAAACACCTTTGCTCATGTGCAAACAAGTGCACGCATAACCGCGGATGATTCATTTTCCCCTCAAGTCGAGTCTGGGGTGTGCGATACAGCATTGTCTGCGATAATATGGTAAGTGTTGTTGTAATGATGTGTGATCTGACATTATCAAGTAGGCTATATCACCAAATCACACACAGAGTGCACGCACGTTGATTTATTAGTCTATTACAACTCAAAATTCCAGGCATTCTAAATTGTAGACGGCAAAAATGCTTCTGTATGCTTTTTATATTTATATAATTTAATGTTTTTTGTTCAATTGTTTTGTCAGTTATTGCATTATTTCAGTCAAATATAAAACCCTTTGTTACCTCAAACTACACATAAAAGCCTGATCAGTGCCATAAAAGTAATCAGAATGCAGTTACTTGTTCCTTTGTTACTCATTGATGCGTGAACTTCCCCTTTAAATAACGCGACGCTCTGCCCTCTATGTGTATGATGCTGCTCCCATTAAGCGCTGTTGGAAGCAAATTAATTGATTCAGCATTTCGACACTTCCGTAAGGATGCGTTAAATTCGACAAAGCGGTTTAATAAAAGATGTATTGATCTTGTGAATTAGCAAATTTTACTACACCAATATTTTTTAATTGGCTGTTAAAGTTTATTGGGAATATTACATGACACGCTGATCCTTTAACAATGCATTGGCAGAAAAACGCACACAATTTGGACCGATTTCACATGATTTGTTGACTGCCACAAATACTGCCTAAACAAAATACTGATTTTGTGCACTTTTTATTGTACCAATATTTTAAATTGGCCTTTGAACTTGGCTTTACTGCATGGCAAAAAAAAGGCTTACCTTGACAAAGCACTGACAGAACCCATTGATCTAATGATGTTGTTGAGCGCTCCAAATGCAAACTTTGCATGCAACAATCAGGCAGCAAGTGACAGCGCTCTGATCCAATGGCGTACAGGCATCGTCAGAATGACAGTACTGTAGCCCAATGATGTTGGGAGATCCAGTGGGGGCGGCAATCATATTTCAGGGTGGCCGTGCCACTCATCACAACCCTGCTAAAATGTATCCCCCTTTTTCTTCAACGCGGAAGTAAGCCTATGGGTGAGACTTCCGGTTCATTAGCCGCTATAGGTAAATAACGAGGAGAATAACAACATGCAGTAAACGGTAAAACTGTTTGCACTACAACCCAGTGTGTTCATAATTAAGGAAATACATTAAAATAATATGATAAGACACACCAACTTTCAATATCAAGCAGCAAAACGAACTGTTTTGTTCAGCTAAAAATAGCTGTACGGAGTGGACGCAGATGAGACCGGAAACCAGACCCATAGAATTTACAAATGGCCGCGCCCATTTTTATGACAAGGAAAAGGTGGCTAGCACCAGTACATGCGCTCATTGGCGCCCCCTCCTGCTGGTGGTGCCCATAGGCGACCGCCTAGCTCGCCTATGCCTACGAACGGTACTGTGTGTGTGATCTAATTGAAAGCATCATTCAACCGGTCTGTGTTCTGTCATGAGATCTCGACTGTATTGTTTGCAATTGTGGTCGCTGAATAAATCATACCCGTCAACCCTCCCGTTTTCCCAGGATTCTCCCGTATTTTACCATTCTATCCCATTATCATTCCGTTTAAATATTTACCCGTATTTCTCCTGTATTTTTAATCTTTCTATAAAAAAAATCCCACTGGGCATATTTAATATGTTTGCTACATTCGCTTCCAGTAAAACTCCCGTTATTTGTATGGACCAAACCTCATTATATGAAAAATCGCGACTTGCGGTTGTCCAGTTGCCAGATCTAGTATGAAACGCGTGTGTGATCTAATTGAAAGCATCATTCAACCGGTCTGTGTTCTGTCATGAGATCTCGACTGTATTGTTTGCAATTGTGGTCGCTGAATAAATCATACCCGTCAACCCTCCCGTTTTCCCAGGATTCTCCCGTATTTTACCATTCTATCCCATTATCATTCCGTTTAAATATTTACCCGTATTTCTCCTGTATTTTTAATCTTTCTATAAAAAAAAATCCCACTGGGCATATTTAATATGTTTGCTACATTCGCTTCCAGTAAAACTCCCGTTATTTGTATGGACCAAACCTCATTATATGAAAAATCGCGACTTGCGGTTGTCCAGTTGCCAGATCTAGTATGAAACGCATCTTTCCCAAATGATCGACGCATACAAATTTCAACCCATTTGTCCCCTCAACCTGGCAACCTACAGCCCAGTGATGCTATTGAAATGTGCACAGGTACTACCGCGGAAAGGAAACAATGATCACTGGTAGAAATGGGAGAAGAAGACTCAGGTGGTGCTCCAGTGAAAAAACTAAATATATGTAAATGTATATTTACATGTATAATGAGATATAGCTTACACTTCAAAAGGCTATTTAATTGATTAAAAATGA